CAGACTGATGTGACACGTAATCACAGAAGAGTAATCATCACCCAAGGACCTACGTGACTCTAGGAAGCGGGAGTCGGCGCCAGCTCCCCTTAATTAATTACATTCGTGCATGTTACGCTGTTGGGTGTGAGAGCGTGGATGGGGCGGGGGAAGGGAAGGGGGGAAAGGGAGGGAGGGGGAAGGGAAGGGGATAGGGAATGCGGGGAAGGGAAAGGGGAAAAGGGAGGGAGGGAAGGGATGGTAGGGGGAGAGGGAAGAAGGGGAAAAGGGGAGGGAGGGGGAATCGGAGAAGGATAAGGAGAGAAAAGGACTGAGTGAAACAAGAAAGGATACTGGATTAAAAGTATCACGTTTCGTACCGTAATAGTGATATATACAGTGATAATATATATGGTTGAGTCTTTACGTGAAGGAGGAACGACTACTCTGAGCGGCAAGAGAATGCTTACGGCGGAGGCTAGAAAGGCTACGAGACAAGGATGACTTTAGTAAGGCCAACCGCAGATCGGGAGAGGGAGAGGAGGGGAGATGAAACGTGTGGGGGACATGGGGGGGGAGGGGTAGAGGATGCAGAGCGGAATGGAAAACCAGAGCTGACGACTCCCGCCCAAATATAGCAGGAGCATTGGCTTGACCCCTCCACACCCACGGCCCGTACCCCCTCCCCCTTCCCCTCATCATCCTCCATCTCCTTCACACCTTCAGCACCTCTTCCCTCCCCTCCCATCCCTTCCCCTCACGCACCATCCCTCTTTCTTCATTCCTTACAATCATGTCCCTCATCCTGCATCAGGACGGCTCTATCCCCTCCCCCCCCCCCCCTCCCCCTCTCTCTCTCTGCGTCCCCAGCCTTCCTCCTCCTCCCTCAACTCTCCCGCTTCCTCTTACCTCCCCGAGTCTTCTCCCCTCCCTCCCTTCCCCCTCCCCTACTCACCCACCCCCGGGCACCTTCCTCCCGTCGTCACCTGGCCTCACAACGCCCTCTCGCCACACACACGTTATAAATGTCGCCACATCAACTCCAGTTATTGCATTGCGGTAGAGGCATGTTTTTCACAACTCTATCCTTTTCCATCTGCGCCGATGCTCTGTTTATAACCTCTGACTTTTGGCTCGGCGATGCATATTTTTTGCGACTTTGCATGCAGGCGACAATGCACGAATGTGACGAGCATTAAACGCCTCGCTGAGTGCATGTGACGCGACCTCCGCTTAGGCTCCATCCCTTCGAAAAATAACAGAGGCTAAATGTCACTGTCGAATTTATTGTACTATTTACTCAATAGATCCCTAAGAACACAACGCGATATTTTGGGAGGGGTTGAATCTCAATCCTGGCATCCCCCCACCCCCACCCCACCTTCTTCCCCTTCCTAGCTGGTCCGCCAACCGTCAGACGCTAACCTAAACCCCAGACGGGGTGACGTCATCGCCCTCCTACAGGATATAAACACGGCGTCGCCAATTAGGTGGTGACACAACTTTCTCCCCTCTGTCCTTCCCCTCGTCTCGTCTCGTCTCGTCCCCCTCAGAACACATGAGAGGAAACCCAGACATTTCCTCTCAAGACAAAAACGAGCAATCCTTTCGTGCGGTCACATTCGCGCTTCGCTAACCGTGTCTACTGACGGCGGCTACCGCCATCTCTGACATCATCGCCCTTGTATGTCAACTCCTGCTCAAATAAGCCTTCAATGTAGTATCTCATAAGAAATAATAGATCATTCTTCATTGCTCACTCACATTCTTGCTGTACATCTCTCTAGGCGTGCGTAATGAAGCGAATCAGTTACAACAATCATTAAGATGTTAAGCCTGTTTACTTCCCGACTCCACTATCTCCCGACAGCTCCGACCATTCTCCCTGACAGGAAACAGCAAAGGCAGCGTCAGCCTTGCGAGGAGGGCGCTGGGCGAGGCAACGAACAGCCAGCGCGATTAATGATGTGTAAATGTCGTGATAAGTGGCGAGCGCCTGAAGTACTTTCATGCCATTTGCAGCCTTTGCCGTTGCACCGTTGCTGCTACTGTTGCACATGACACTGCAAGTGATGTCATCGATTAGTATGCTGATCGTTTCATGACAGCTGACACACAACAGTCAAGCCATCTGTAAATCTTAAAGACGTATAATGGCCTTAAACTGTAAAAAAGGTCGAGGCAGTTAAGAACATCTGATAACACAAGTCGCAGCAGTTAAGCAAACACGGCGACAATAAAGTAAAAAATTCAGACAGTTCAACAAGCGCAATAATGCCCATTAAAGGCATCCGCACGCACGCATCCAGTCGCCCAGGAATCACTCCGCGCTGCGACACCCGTCATATCAAGCCGAACTGCTGTGACGTGACGGAGGACAATGACTCGGCGACCTGACCGAGACGGCCGCCATCTCCTCGAGAGAAGTCGCTCGCAACTCAACGCTAATGTAAACAAACTCAGTGGTTGTTTTGCGTCATCAGCTGACCACACCGAGGAGGATGTGAGGCAAGGCGGGGCAACCACCCTGACGAGGCTCTATATTCGGCACGGGCCATCACCGGCCGCTTCGACGAAGCCGCGTCTTCCGAGAACGGCCGGAGACAATAAAATGACGTAGGGGCGGCCACCACGACACAATCCGACTTTGAGGGAGAAAAAAAATGAACCCATAATTTTCAAACGCGCCGAATATAACCCTCATTTACATACTAAAAACAACCTTCCCTCGCTTCGCCCACAGCGGGACCCGCCCACAGACAAGGCTTGCACAGTACGCATGCTATAGGCTCGCCCACGCTCACACTTGATCAATTACAATATGTTAGGAGAGAAGACAGGGCGAGAAATTCATTACAGAGCCTCACGCACCAGGTAACGGGGGCGAGGCGAGGTCTATGGTTAGGCCCGCTCCCTTCCCTACATCCAGAGAGAGGAGGGAGGGAGGCAGTGGGGAAGGAAGGGAGAGGAGGGAGGGAGGCAGCAGGGAAGGAAAGGGGGGAAGGGAGGAGACGAGAGAGGAGGAATGAAAGAAGGTACGACAAGATACAGAGAAGAACGGAGAAGAAGATAGATAGATAGATAGAGAGAGAGAGAGAGAGAGAGAGAGAGAGAGAGAGAGAGAGAGAGAGAGAGAGAGAGAGAGAGAGAGAGAGAGAGAGAGAGAGAGAGAGAGAGAGAGAGAGAGAGAGAGAGAGAGAGAGAGAGAGAGAGAGAGAGAGAGAGGGGGGGGGGGGGAATAGAAAAAGAGAAAGAAAAGGAGAAAAAGAGAATGAAAGAAAAAGAAAGAGAGAGGGGGGGGCTAAGCAAACCGATAGAAAAAAAAACTTAAGCATTTAACCCCCTCGCATTATTCCCCAAGCTCTAATAGAGATCTACATCGAGCAATGGAGAACTGATTGCCTCTGATCTACGAGCTTCCTAGTATGACAGCCTTGCATATCAGATATCAACAATTACTTCCCCCGAGATGAGAAGCACTTAGCAAAGATCTCCATCAACTCGCTGAGCAGGACCTCCGACCCTTGACCTTTCGCTAAGATTGACAAACATAAATCTCTCCCAGCAAGACGGTCGTGCAGGTCACAAGTGCAGGCTCTGACTCTTTATCCCCCTCCCTCCCTCCTGCTCCTCCTCCCTTTCTCTTGGCCTCCTCTTCTTCATAAATGCACGTCATTCTTCACCGACTCCCTCTTCTTTCCTCTTTCTTTTGCTCATCATATTCACCGACTCCTCCCTTTCTTACTTTCTCTTTCCCTGTTCTCATGCGCTCATCCTCTTCGCCCTCCTTCCTCCTGCCTACTTCTTGTAATTCGCCCCATTCTCTATAGTTCCTCTACCCCGTTCCCTTGCGTACCCTCGCTCGCTCGCTCCTCTTTCACTCCTTGTGCCGCGTCTAGGTCCTCCGTTTTCACCTTTTTTCCCTCCCTCCTCTCTCTTCTCTACTACTCATTTCTCTCCTCCTTCTCCTCTCCTTCTCCTTCTCCTTCTCCTTCTCCTTCTCTCCTACTCCTACTCCTACTCCTACTCCTACTCCTACTCCTACTCCTACTCCTCCTCCTCCTCTCTCCTCCTCCTCTCTCTCCTCATCCGCTTCTACTGTGCAGCCCTCCTCTAACGGGACTGTCAAACCGCTCTTCTTCGCGTCGGAAAAGATGTCACTATCTCAGGGCTATTTGTCCCCCGGCTGACGACAACACGAACCGTCCGTAAATAGCCAATGATGTAAGGCAAGGGACCCCCCACCCCCGTTCTACACCTGACCCGAGCGCGGACGGCAGTAAGGGTCGACGTGGCATTCTCTTTACATCGGAAGTTCAACTCTACGAACACCGTCCCCCGTCCCCCTCTCCCACCGCTGCCGGTCCAACTTTACTGTCCAAAATCCTATTAATCGGGATTTTTGGCCTCGATTTAACTCTTAGGTGTTTTGGCACCATCGGGCAATGGCCCCATCTGGGCTACTCTCTCTCTCTTTAAATTACGTAAAGTACTCTAGCATTGTGATTTTAGTAGTGGGTCTCGAAAAAATGTTGCAAATGACATATTTAGTGAAGAAAATAAAAGTAGAAAAAAATTGAAAAAAATTGAGGAGGAGGAGGAGGTGGAAGAGAAGTAGGAGTAGGAGTAGAAGGAGGAGGAGGAGGAAAAAGAGGAAGAGAAGACGGAGGAGGAAGAAGAGGAGGAAAAGAAAGTAAAAGAGAAAAAAAAATAAAAGAACAGACAGACAGACAGACAGGAGAAAATAAAACAAGGAAAAAACACTGAGATAAACTAGAGAAAACAAAGACCCTCAACAATCATTAGCACAGCCATAAAAAACCCCGAAGAGACACAGGAGGAGCGGGAAAGCCGACCCGCCAGCCGCCTGCAATCCATGCCCCTCCTCGCCCCTGGAGCACACCGGCCGCCACGACGCTATTTCCGGGCTCTAAATTTATCCCGCTGCACAAAGACCGAACGGCTAATCGGATTCGGGGATTCACACCGCCCCCGTGACACACCAGCTGATCTTCACTTACCTTTTTTAAGTGTTTGTTCACCCATTTCGTAAACGTCTTCTTCTGGATGGCGTCTCTCTCGTCTGCGGGGGGAAGAGAAAAGAAAAAAAATGTCATTAATAACTATTCAAAATCTTCCAAAATGAAACTTTTCAAATCTTTTAAATGCTTACAAGTTGAGCAATAGGCTAAGATCCTATCGAGCGAGAGAGAAAGGTCTGGCAGGATCATATGCCAATACTGCATGACCTTTCTCGCTGCTTCAACAACATTAAATCGAAAGCTAGTGTTACCCTCGTCCCTTTTAAACGACCGGTAACACCAGTGACCGGAGACTGAAAAAAAATATTCATGTCTTTGGCATTATTAATCTTTTATGGGCATCTCCTTGCAAGAATATAATTACCAGTAATAAAACCTATTATACACACGAGTCAATTAGGTCAGCCTCCGAACAATGGCCTGTTGGCGATGTCGTGAAAGGCCATAAACGCCTATTATGTCACAGGTCAACGTAGAAAAAGCTGTGTTAAAAAACAGTCAACGTCTGTTTAATCCACAGGGCATCTAGGGTTTCTCGAGAGGCGAAGGTCCGCACCTTGGGATGCTTACCCTATATCTTCGCTTCATAACTTACCTTTTCTATCTTCAAAAACAATTTAGCACACACAAACACACAAATATAAGCACGCGCAAAAACGAAAGAATGCTGAGAAGGAGGGGGGGAGGAGAGGAGAGAGAGAGAGAGAGAGAGAGAGAGAGAGGAGAAGAGAGAGAGAGAGAGAGAGAGAGAGAGAGAGAGAGAGAGAGAGAGAGAGAGAGAGAGAGAGAGAGAGAAGAAGAGAAGAAGAAGAAGAAGAAGAAGAAGAAGAAGAAGCAGAAAAAGAAGAAGAAGAAGAAGAAAAGAAAGGAAAAGGAAAAGAGAGGAGGAACCACGAGCCAGCCCTTCCGCCACGAGCCCCGCCGCACAACGTCCGCCTGTGCTATCCGCGCGATGACAGCCCTCGACGTAGAGACTTATCGACGGCGATATTTCTCGTCGGCGGGGCCCAGGCAGGACGTCTAATCGTGGGAACAGTCGCCGGGTCGCCAAAGTTTTTCTCTTTCTTCTTTCTTTCATTCCATTCCTTTTGTACAAACATTCCTTCGCCTCCTTGCGCCCCAGCACACCCACACAGGGACCTACAAGTTTCGCGGTAATGCTATTCATCAGAGGACATAATTATGATAATGATGAGTCCCGGTCCAAACCTCCCTGGAACCGCTCATCTCGCCATATACACACGCGCCGAAACGCATTTAACTTGTAAATGCACGGAGAGTAAGTATATACACGAACAAATAACCCCCTTCCTAGTATGCTGCTCTTCAAGATGCCGAAAAATATATACCTTCTTTTCTTTCCTCTCCTCTTTTCTTCTGATTTCTCCACTCCTTTCACTTCTTCCACTATCCCTGACCTAAAATAAGGAGATTTAAATAAACGCGAAAGCAAAATAAAAGGCTCTAAAGTTTCCTCAAAATCGGAATCTGAAGTCCCAAGTTCCTTTCTTATATTCACCCCAAAAGCCCACGTGATGGATGGCTGGACATTCATTAAGGTTAAGTATACTAAAGCCACTTAAACAAGTGAAGACTGCTCCCCCCCTCCTCCTCCCTTGCCGCATCCCTCCCTCCCATACCCCCCTCCAACCACCCTCCCCTTCCTCCCCTTGCCGCATCCCTCGCCCCTTCCCCAACCCCTCTGCCAACCCCCCCCCTCCCCTCCCTCTCCCCTGGCACAATGACGGTCCTCTGCCACCCCTGACGACCCGAGTGACGGATGGGGAGCCAACATTCACACCACCCTTGACACAGGACCGTTTTCTCTCAAAGGGAAAAGTAAAGAGCTCTTGGCCCTCCAACTATCGGGTTGCACATGCCCCGTTTTTCTTCCTCCTGGAGGAATCCTCGTGACAGTTTACACAGGGTGGTGACTTTCAGGGTGTGCAAATGTGCCTTCTGGTGTTCAAGTGTGATTGAGTGAATGAAGGAGAGAGTGAGAGGACGAGTGGGGGAGTGTGACAGGACGAGTGGGTGAGTGAGTGTGAGAGGACGAGTGGGTGAGTGAGTGTGAGTGGATGAGTTAGTGAGGCTGTGAATATGAATGAGCGTGAGCATGAGCATTTGCGTGATCTTGAGTGGGGACGTAAATGTGAGAATGTAAGGGTGGGACGGAGTAAGTATGAAAATGAGCGAGTGTGTGTGTGCGTGTTTCACTTCAGCCTTGGTTTAAATTTAGGGAACTCCCGCTGTCTCCACGGTTGGGAATGTCTGAAAACCCTCGTGAGATCATTCAAGCACAGAAAACGAACATCTGGTATCACGCATAACCCCTTACGCAACGACACGCAATCAGAAACCCACCCACGCCATAATTTTTTTACGACACGAATAATAAAACCAATTACACCCGTCATACATATACAAAAATAGACATGCAGAACCACACAACTTCAGACCACGCTAAACAGGCTCACAGAGAGACCGAGACCGTGGCTAATGCAGCCGACAAAGACCATAGCATTTCCTTCAAGATCACTCACACACTCGGTAACAGGCGGGAGTGAAAGGCTCTCTCATTCTCCATCTCATTCTCTCGTTTTCATTCCCATTCTCAGATCCTCTCATTCTCATCTCAAGTTTTCTTGATTTCCCTATTCTCTCTCTCTCTTCCTCTCATTCTAATCATCACATTCTCTCAGTTCTCTGTTTCTCCATAATTTCGCTCTCATTCCACCATTCCCTTACTCTCCTCCTCTCTGTCTCTCCTCTTCATCCCCCTCCTCTCTCATCCTAATTCCCGCTTTCCTATTCTCTCACTTTCTTAAACTGAAATCTCCGTGTCTCCCCCTCCTCACAGCCGGGCTAATTGCGAAGGCCAGCGGGGAGCCAAGACGAAAGTGAGATGCGAAAATGAATTTGACAATCGAGGTTCTCGCTCCCCACGCCAGAGGTAAACAACACTTGACAGATTAGGCTGGCAGGTGGGGAGGATTGGGAAGGGAGGATTAGGAAGGGGGGCTGGGTAGGAAGGGCTGGGTGGAGGTGCCGTGGTGTATATTCCCACCACGTGAGAATTAGGATAAATTGATTTACATATACGTGGAAGGAGACGACCAAGACAATGCAGAACCAGTTTCTCCAATAAATGAGAAATCGAAATTACTAACAAACGTGTAGCAACTATTAAAAAATAGAGATAATAATCCCCCAAAAAAGAAAAAAGTAATCTGTATAAATTGGAACGGCTAGAAAATTAAGAACAAAATATGGCATGTCCCACGCAAGCACAGAAAACCATCCGTTACAATATTTGTCTTCGGGGATCAGCTAACGTCGACCTAACGAACAATGAATCAAGTAGTTTGTTCTTAACATTCCACGCTGACAGCCTTCATTTAAAATAAACAATCGTGGTTTCCAAATACAGCCAAGTACGTCCAGCTTCGTCTAAATAGAAAGAGCATGCATCACACTTCGTAAAAAAAAATATATCTAGGACTACAATGCTTTAAATTTTCAAGTTTCTAGACGCTATTCAACGCAGGGAGAAACCTCCGCGCAAACACAAACCACAGCAAACGACACGCGCATTCTCAGACGAAGAAACAAGACCCACAGAACGCTGGCCATGAGAAAGCCCTGGGAAAGCAGACGCCTTCCCATGAGAACCACGAATCGCCCGAGAAAAAGAACGGAAGGCCAATCGATCTCGGCGGGCATCGTTATCGCCGGCGGGAAAATATAATTAAGATAAAAAAGACGAAGCAATAAAACCAAGAGCGGGTACGAGCTGGGGAGGGGGGGGGCTGGGGAGAGTGACTGGGTATATCCCCTCGAGGGGTAGTTGCCAAGTGGTAGTGAAAGTTCGGCGATCAATTGGCAACAACAACAGCGGCATGGCCGGGCAGATATTACATCATGGTAAAGGTTCCGAGATTGATTGCCTCATTAAAAAGGAGGTTGCGGTTAGAGTACGGTGGTTATCATGATAATCTTTTTCAGGGGAGGGGGAAGGGGAGGGGGATAATGGACTATTTTTACTGCCTCACGATGCAAAGATATACGATTCATGTACTGAATCATCTTTCAAATAAACCAGAAAATCACGCAGTTCGGGGACAAGGACCCGTCGCTCTCTGTTACCCCATTATTCACACACAAAATTAACCAATAATTAAACAAATCAAACTACCCCGCTTCCTTCCCTACAACTGGTTTCCTAGTGCCAAATCAGGAAAAAAAAGCATCACACCTCGAACCCCCCTCCCCCCTCCCACTTGCCAACGCCCCAGCTTCCATGAGTCGACAAAAATATTCCCATGTCTCGCTCCCTGCGTCCCGCGCCGCCGAGAACAACACCGACGACCACAACAAGCATTACGACGGCCAGAAACGAGAACGTGTCACATCTCCCGGGAATCCCTTCGCAGCTCCTGTTGTGGGATGCTCTGATGCTTTCTTATCAAGAACGACAAAGTGTCCTATCTCTACTTCTCTTTTTTCTGGCGGTGGAAACATTACATAATACGCCTACAGGCCCCGCCGTGACATAATAACACCTAATCTAAATCTATTGTTACGTCATTTCGTTAATGGATTATTCCACGCACTGCGCTAATCACCCCACAGCCAATACAGCGACCTCACGCTTGTCATTGTCAGGGTGCAAGGTGATTAAAATATGATCTTTACATAATTGGCTTTGACCTTATCTGTCACCAGTAACGAATCATGTTTTTGCTTTTTACATATCTTAAATCAAACTTAGGACCCTGACATACTTCAAGAAAAAAATGGAAATCTATTTACTGTTTTAAATATTCCACAGCGCTGATAATCCCTCTGTCATCTCGCACAGTGCATTGCTTGTAGCTTCCCCGGGTGATCCAACATTTCTGGTCCCAAGCACAGAGCCTTCCACCTCGAAACCCCCGCTGCCCCCAGAGCCCCCAACACCACGGGCTCCCGCTGTCTGGGTTTCGCCACACGAAGATTTCCAGTTTTTACAGCTCCAGAGGGCGCCAGCGAGTCCGCGTTG